AGAGCCAAACTTTCTATCAGAAGCAGTAGCTTGAGAAGAATGTTTCTGGGTTGTCTCAACACCTGTTTCCATCCTGAGCTTTCTACATTCACCTACAAAGTTAAAGAATACATGAGTGATCATAACCTTATGTTGTAACTGTGAAGGATTTTGTAAAATGTTCAGCTTCAAAATTGTTGGATTTTGAAAACCCAATTCCATGGAAAGTACTTCCAGCTCTACCATTGCTAATCAATTATACATGTACAGTTTTTGGCAGCAGCAAAAGTTTGCGTTCAAGTTAATTACCTCTGAATCTAGTAGTTAATCCATGATTTGCATCTTCTTTGGCTCGTTTGATAACAACATTAAACACACTTTTCGGGCCCCGAATCAGCTCAAAGAAACAAGTATCACCTACTTTCAAATTGTTGCCCTGTACAAATGCTCTCCAACGAGAATCAAAATAAGCTCTTGACCGACCCCCAGAGAGTTGCACATTGTACCGAAGATACCAACTCCTCCCATCTTGTGTTTGAAGATGTACTTCCCCTTTGCCCCCTTTTAAATGCCTTTCTGCAAACACCTTAGGTATTTGCTGATACATAAAACCAGAAATAATGGTTAATTCTTTCAATTGCTTGTGGTCTAATGATAATTCAAATGTGTATCGATCAAAAACTATACCAAGTTAGATTTTTTTGGATTAACATAACACGGCTTCATCACAACCACGAAGAAAGGATTTTTAGAGTTAAAAGTAAGAGGTCTCTTGCAAACTATTTTATTCCGAGTTGTCAGTAGGACACTCTGGTAGTCCTCTGAGTTTTGGCATTTTATAGTAGTAGTAGACAACATACCTGTAAAAGACATTCAAGAATTTGTTAAAAGACATTATAGTTTTGCTCTTTAGATTCAGTGAAGGTGCTGAAGAACATAAAGAGACTCTTTACTTAATTACCTTGTGATCGAGAACAATTCGGGCTGTCATTATTACGGTAAATGATTACATTGAACAAAATCTGAGTTCTGTTGATCAGTTCAAAAACACAAACATCCCTAACTTCAAGCTTGTTATTCTCCGCAAATGCCTTCCATTTGCAATAAAATCTCCCATTTGTTTTACGCCCATCTAAAATCTGAAGGATCACTTCCCGACGCTTCTCAGTGAGATATTTCTTAACAAACCAAACAGGTATTTTCTGCCATGAAACAAAATTCCTTACGACACTAGGAAGTTTACTAACAGATGAGAATTATCCATTCATAATGGTTTTTGTGAAGATTATTAACAGATATACAAAAATAAATTATGATGAACTCTTCCTCTACTTAGGAACATGAATTAATGTATATATGATGTTCTAGTAAAGTTCTATCTTGAAGCTCACCAACGGATATTCTGAATTAATATAAGATGGTTGCATGACAATCAGAAAAAAGGCATTGATGGATTTGAAAGCCATGGCCTTCTGAAGAGCTTTAAATTCTTCATCCGCTTCCAATGGTTCGACTATATTAGGAACCTTTTCTTGCCGCAATCTATCACTTGACAAACCCTCATGGCGATCTGTTGACGAATTAACGTTAGTAAAAAAACAGACACGATACAACATAAAACCGTAGATAGGATATGCTGATCGACAAAGGAAGTCCGATGGGTCATCACAATGTTTACCTCTAACTTTCACAGATGATGAATTGGTTTTGAATGACTTAGAGGGGTTAGGACATGGCAATGGCAATGGCGATTTGTCTCTGCGTTTCCTGCGAGGCCTTTCTTTGCTTCCTTCTTCTCTGGGATCGACAGCTTCACCATTTGAGCCAACGAATGGATAGTCGATCTCAGTAGCAGTCATATCAAAAATGATAATATGAAATTCTCCATCTCCATTGAATCTGAAAAGAACTAAATGTCCATGGCTTAATGAATAATGCTCAGAAAATATCCTCCATCCATGTTGCAACCAACCCTCCCGATCACTCTTTGTCACTCCTACTCTCCATACTGCGCCGCAAGGGGCAACAAGTTCTACTGAACTCGGTAACCCACTTCCAAACTTTTGCCAAAACTTGTCAGGTATCTTCTGTGAGAAGAAGAAAAGAAACCCATCAAATTAAAAAAATATAAACATAACAAACAAATCTCTGTTTCAAATGGATAATCAGAAGACTGAAAATCCACATATATTAAACAAAGAAACGAAAAATAACCAGAACGAAACAAGAGGGAAGGGGAAGAACAGACGAAATGAAGAAATGGAGATATATAAGTGGTGATTACAAGCTTTCCATCTCGAAGAGAATCTTGAAGGATTATCTTAAAGAAATGCGGTGTTTCAGCTCTAAACTTAAGTTGGGAGAAAATGCCCTCTTTCCTGCCAGAAACCGCCATTGTTGGAGCCCCAACGACACAGTTTTTAACGGACACCCGGCTGGTGCAGTTGCATTTAAATAAAAATACAGAAGTTTAAGCGTCGAAGTAGAAATTAAGGCCAGTATGAGGAGTAATAATGGCTTATACTCGAGCGGAGGAAAGACTCATGGCTTATTAATGAAACCTCAAAAGCAGAGCAGGCTAACTAAAGCTGGTCAGTTCGCATCAATTGGCTTTGGAGATTTACTTATATATAAATTTTATAAAATATACAGAAAACTTCTTTATTTTTACAAATTCAACAAAACGGCATTAGTTGTCAAGTAATTGACAAAAATACCCTTTCCCTAACTTAGAACGTTAAGATTTAACGGAGAAGGACGAAAGTGAAAAATAAAACCTTCATGCAGCATTCTCTCCCTCTTTATACGTAAAAAAAAAAAAAAAAAAAGAACCTTCCAATCGCCGTAACGATCACCTGAGTCACCACCAGGCAATTCGGCTTAGTCTCTTCCAATCGATTCCGTTGTCTTCATCTCTACGCCCTCATATGCTCTCTTCCCTTCTGGTAACTAGGTTTTAGGTAATCCTCCAAGATCAGTTCACACCAGGTACAGCTGCAATTCCAGAACAAGACTATAATTACTCATCAATTCAAACATCTAAAGTTCGCTCTATCCATTTCAAATTACAAATCTCTCATCTGGGTCACAAAGTTATAGAATGCTGGAATTATGACCAGTGTAAATGGCATATAATCTATTTATTTTATCTTCATTAATGAATTCATACAATGAATCATATTGCTACTTACAACAAATGTTGATAGACTAATCCAGATTCCAGTAATAAACTCTCACTGTGATTAGAATATTAATCAAGAAACTCAATGTATTTAGAGTGACACATGTAGAAGGCAACCAGTAGAGAAACGTGTAAGCCACCAGCTTAGAAAAGAACAAGCAGAAAACAAATGGAGCCACGCCTGGCAACCTCCAGGCCTCCAGGAAGCTAGTGGGGCCTGATGGATCTGAGTCTCCAGTCTCAAGAAACACTGCCTCCTCAGTATCCACTTCCTCCAAATTCACCACTCCCATTTACAATTTCATTAATCTCAATCTCCTTCCCTGCTACCTCAAATACTAAAACCCTGAGACTCACCACAAGAAAAAAAAAACACAAAACCTCCAACCAGAATCACTAGAATTCCATGCACAATAAATGACCATAACCCCTCCAAACTCCAAAACTCTAGATGCCACCTCTGATCCAATAATGTTACTATTAGAATACTAGACTGAGGATACATAATGTAAGTATCTACAGGAACAGGGTTACTTTTGTTATTTACTTTCCATGTACATATACTTTCTCATCTGTACATTCATAAAGACAATTCATTTTTCCAAAATCCCCAAAGTCGACTTCCTTTCTTGCTCGTGAACTTCTCCCTAGCAATTTCCATTTCCACTCAGTTTTCTGCTAAATTTCTTATCAACCTAATCATTTTTCTTGCTTTAGATTCTTCACATAATCTTAAATAGGTACCAACCGATTTATGTAAATTCCATACCCCCATTATCAACCCTCTCTTCTCCTTTCCAAACCAGTTTCCCACCACTACAACCACACAAAGCCACCATGTTGAATGAAACAAACCACAAATAATCTGCATACCCAAGAAGTACATCAAACCAATAGCTAAATCCAAAACCTATGGTGAAGAGTTCACTACCAATCAATCCAAAGACAAAAAACAGTCTCAAATTGACCCTCTATCTCTAACATGTCCTGCAAAATACATGCCCACCGAATACGTTGAGAGGAAGGCGAGATCGAGTTCTCAGAGTCTGTGTGATCCCTCCGGTTTGTTAATCGATCGTCATCCAATATTCATTCAGCTGAATTTGAGTTCAGTGGATCTAAATAGTTTGAGTTGTCAACTATTTGGATTCAATCATGTATTCAGAGTATAATTTACACTTTTTTTGAATAAATTTTAGTAATAGTTAGTTAATTAATATATAATAATGACATATGATGAGAATAATAATTTTTTTTTATGTTTTAATAATTATATATTAATAATATATTTTTATTCAGATAATAAGATTGTATTTTTAGTTAAATTATTAATTTATTTTTATTTATTATATATAATAATAAATAATATATAAAAAATATGTAATAAAAAAATTATTTAATAATATAATTACATTTATATTTAAATAAATAATTATTATATATAATTAATCTAAATTTTTATATTTAATAAAATAAATAATAATTTATAAATATATTCTATAAAGTAAAAAAAAAAAAAAAAACTGTTACATACAGTTTGTTACAACTAAAAATTAAAATAACATAATTTTTTTATATTTATAAAATATTATTCATTAAAATTCTGTTAGGGGAGCTTGCGAGATTGCAAGGAAGGAGGCATGTGGGAGGAAAATAATGATTAGGATAGAGATTTTGTGGAAGATAATAAATAACTTTAAAATTTTTATTGCATGTACAGATTATAAGTTGAACTTTAATAAATAAAAAAAAAAAAAAAAAAAAATTGTTCAATATTTTTAATTTTAATATAAGTTTCAATAGACATTAAAAATATAATTTTAAATTACTATAATTTTAATAGGACTTTTAATAATAATTAATTAAGTTTTTAATCAGGAAGTTTAGCTTTAGTACAATTTTAAATTTATACTGCCAATATAATTTTAATATCAATAAAATATTATATCCAAAAGTGTTGATCATCTTCATCAGGTTTCCTACGCATACCAAATCGCTTTTCTTTAACGACTCCCTTGTTGCAGAGAATTTTCTCCAGCAAACAAAAGCCCAACCAGCCGAAAATGTAAATCTCCCACCAGAATTTAATTAATTTCACCGCCCATGATCCTCCTGCTGTTTCAAGTGTGGAGCAAACGTCATGCTTCTTTATAAATTCCTTTGCAAAACCTGTTGGTACGGGCTGCACAATTTCAAAACATGTTTGCATGCTATCAGCGTGTATATATGATCAAACTCTCAATAGTAAATAGTTATGACCACCAACATAAAACATACCACAAAACGATGCTTGAGACAATGTTTGGCTAATAACAAGCATGAAGAATGGATATTTAGATCCAAAGTTTCTCCCGGAAGCAGTAGCTTGAGAAGAATGTTTCCCGGTTGTCTTCAGACCTGTTTCCATTCTCAGCTTTCTGCGTTCACCTACGATAAGTAAAATAATACGAGTGATCATAACCTTTTGTAATAACTACAAAGGATTTTGTAAAATATTCGCCTTCAAAATTCTTGGCTTTTGGAAACCCAATTCCATGGAAAGTACTTCCAGCTCTATGCGATTAGACATATACAGTTTTTGGCAGCAAAAGTTTGGTGTTTTGAGTTAATTACCTCCATATCTAGTAGTTAATCCATGATTTGCATCTCTTTTGGCTCGTTTGATAACAACATTAAACATAGTTTTAGGGCCACCAACTTTCAGCTCAAAGAAACAAGTATCACCTACTTTCAGATTGCTGCCCTGTACAAATGCTCTCCAACGAGAATCAAAATGAGATCTGAATCGACCATAGGAAACATGCAATTTGTACTGAACATCCCAAATCCTCCCGTCTTGGGTTCGAAGAAGCACTCTCTTGCCCCATTTTAAATGCCTTTCTGCAAACTCCTTCGGTATTAGCTGATACATAAAACCATAAATAATGGTAATCCAAATGCGGTTGAACGAAAACTATACCAAGTTAGATTTTTTTGGTTTAACATAACACGGCTTCATCACAACCACTAAGAAAGGATTTTTAAAGTTAAAAGTAGGAGCTCTCTGACAAGCTATTTTATCGAGAGTTGTCGGTTGAACACTCGGGTAGTCCTCTGAGTTTAGGCATTTTCTATTAGTAGATGACATCCCTGTAAAAGACATTGGAAAATTTGTTAAAAGACACCAGAGAGTTTTGCTCTTTAGATTCTGCGAAGATGCTGGAGAACTTATACTTGATTAGCTTGTGTTCGGAAACAATTTAGACTACCATTATTTCGGTAAATGATTACTTGGAACAAAAGTTGAGTTAATTAAATCAGTTCAAAAACACAAACATCCCCAACTTCAAGATTGTTGTCCTCTGCGAATCAAATCTCCCATATGTTCTACGGTTCCACACTGCAACATTATAACCAACAGTCCAACTAGTCCCATCTAAAATCTGAAGGATCACTTCCCCATGCGTCTCAGTGAGATATTTCTTAACAAACCAAACAGGTATCGTCCGCCATAAAATAAAGTTCCTTACGACACTTAGAATTTTACTAACAGCCGAGATGAGGAAATTTTCCATATATGCTATGAGAATTATCCATTCATAATGGTTCCTGTGAAGACTATTAACAGATATGCAAAGAGAAACTATAAGCTCGTCCATTACTTAGGCACATGAATTAATGTATATATGATGTTCTAGGAAAGTTCTATCTTGAAGCTCACCAATGCATACGCTGAATAGATATAAGATGGTTGCATGGCAATCAAGAAAGGGATTGTTGGATTTGAAAGCGATAGCCTCCCGAAGAGCTTTAGGTTTTTCATCCTCTGCCAGTTGTTCGACTATCTTAGGAACCTTTTCTTGCCGGACTCTACGATGATCACTGAACAGACCCTCGTGGCGATCTGCTGACGGATTAACGAAAGTCAAACACAACAGACACGATACAAAATGAACCGTAGATAGGATTTGCTGACAGACAAATCCGATGGCTCATTACAATTTTTACCACTAGCTTTCTCGGACGTTGAACTGGTTTTGATTGACTTAGAGGGCTTAGGACATGGCAAAGGCGATTTTTCTCTGCGTTTCCTGCAAGGCTTATTCATGCCTTCTTTTCTGGGATCGAAAGCCTCGTCATTTGGGCCAGCGAATGGATAGTCGATCTCAGTAGCAGTCATATCAAAAATGGTAATATGAAATCCTCCATTTCCGTCGTACCTGAAAACAGCTAAATGTCCATGACTTAAAGAATAATGATCAGAGAACTCCCTCCATCCATGTTCCATTCAACCTTCACGGTCACTCTTTGTCACTTCTACTCTCCATACCGCGCCGCAAGGGGCAACAAGTTCTACCGAACTCGATAACCCACTTCCAAACTTGTGCCAAAACTTGTCGGGTATTTTCTGTGAGAAGAAGG